ATTTTATTGTGAATATATAATCAATTTTCAAATATAGATATTAATATTTAATAAAATAAAATTTTAAAATTTTAATTCAGTTATCAATTTACTACAATTCTCATTCTTATTCTAAACTTGTACTGGCTAAAAACTTTAAAAATAAAAACTTAATTGTAGATATATATGATTTATGAAAAACCAGTTGCTAGTTATAATATTTTTTCTCAAGGTGTTATTTCAATGCCACGTTCTTCTTCTTTTGCCTTTTTAACACTTCCATTATGAGAGGAACAATTCTTTTTTTCTAAATTAGAACAAGGCCAAGGATCTATATACCAAAGAAAGAAAATGTTATAAATAAAAGTCTTCGCTAACTTAGATCCATGTTATTATTATTGATGCGTCCAATAAGAGATAAATTCATGAAGCTACAAGGATCATTAACAAAAGATATGTTTATTTTATCCCATAATTAGAAGGAAGATCAAGTCAAACCAACTTGTGTTCAATGAGAAATTTCACAAAAGACTTGCTGGGAGATATCTAAATAAAAGAGATTAAAATAACCAAGTTAAATTTGCAAGTTGACCCTTAAAGTCAATAGGTTTATTGATTTTATAAGGTAACATGTAAAGTTAAAGGCAAAAGTAATTTTTGAAGTGGTAGTGAGGACGCAATTGAATTGATTGTGATGACTTTACCCATTAGGCTTGGGTGCAAAGAATTTTCTTCATAAAAATGTAATTGAGGAATCATAGGCAATTGTAAAAAAAATTAAGAAAGAGATTCCCATCCACCCATTACATGATAATCTTTCCATACTATTTTTCTATTTTAAAATTTCTATAACTATCTTATTCATGGATTATTATTTTATCTAGAAATTGATTCCTAATTTGATTTGAAATTCTTCTACTCTTGCATTACATATTGGCATATACATACATCATATTTATTGCATGTCAATTTTCACATGTTCTTAACAAATGTGGTCAAGAAAATGTAACTAAGGAAACTTGTAAGCAATTGCAGGGAATTGATGGGCAGAGAAGATTGAAAAACTCAAGTTATTTTTGACTTTATAAAAGGTGCAACAGCGATTTCATACATCATATTTATTGCATGTCAATTTTCACATGTATTTGACAAATTTGATCAAGAAGATGTAACTAAGGAAACTTGTAAGCAGATGCAGGGAAGTGATCGACAAAGAAGATTATTTTAACTTTTTTATAAAAGGTCCAACATCAATTTTGCTACTTTTTGGAATGAATAATTTTCCACCAAATGTATTTCTCTTTCTTTGAACTTTGGTTTACACCTCTTGCCTTTCTTTATTCTTCTTCAATTTCTACTGAAGTTTAGAAGAAAGTTTATTAAAAACTCTTGAATGTTT